TCGTGTGGTGTGGTGTGGTGTGGCGTGGCGTGGTGTGGTGTGGTGTGGTGTGGTGTGGCGTGGTGTGGTGTGTGGTGTGGTGTGGTGAGGAGCTTACCCTCACCTCAATTTACCTCCCCCCTATCACCGCACCACCCGCCAATGCCTTTGGTTTGCCACACCATCTGCCCACCCGCCCTCCACGGGCTGCCTCCCAACCCCAGGCGAAATACAGACATACATAGTGACGTACCACCACAGCCACCACAACCACCACAATCGCCATTATTACCTACGTGTGCTCTTCGGTGATGAGCTTACTGACCTGCGAGGGATGGTTGTAAGCCCGTTGGCAAGGTGGTTGGTGGTTGGTAGTTGGTAGTTGGTGTGTTTGACGGTTGCGCCTTACGTAATGTGGTGGTGGTCGCGGAGCTGGAGGAGGTTCCTAAGAAGGGAGATGTACAGACGTAGATACACTATCAAAACCTCTAAATCTTCTCATGCCGTACTTCCGTACGGTCGTACAACTCACCACAAGGTAGCACACTATATGTACGACCAGCATAATAGCCATGACAGCGTAACTCATGTATTGCAGCCGGCTGAGGGGCAGCGTCAGGGAGGGGCCCAGCAGCAGCTTGTCCAGGGCCTTATGCAGCCGCTGTCGCCGCGCGTCGATGGCCAGGTCCGTGGCAGATGACTGATCAGTCAACCCTGCAGGCAAAGATGGATGGATGAATGGATGAAGAACAACAACAAACATTTCTTAGGATTGTTTGCCTACGACCATGCCGTACGTCGTACGGCATGACCTGCGCTGGAGGCCTGGTAAAACCCAAACAACCTTTGCACACCCTGCCGCCCCCTCCACCCAGCTCCCGGTCGCACCAGTTCCTGGGTTCCGCTATATCGCTCGCTCCTCAGCCCTCCACCTCCCCCCCCTCCCACCAGCCAACAACTCTCAACCCTCCTCCATCCACCCGAAATCTCCCCCAAAACCCAAAACCCAATACCCACGGGTGAACCCGCTCTCGGCCTCGCTGTCCACCACGCTCGAGTCGTCAGCGTCGCTAGATCTCTCCCACTTGCCGCCACCAGACGGCTCCGGGCCACCATCGCCGCCGCTGGCAGCGGCGTCGTCACCCCCCCCGCTGCCGCCGCCGCCAGGCTCCAGCAGCTCCAGACCGCCGCCAACGCCGACCGCGCCGCCGAGGCTGCCGTCGCTGCTGGCCCTCACCGCCCTGCCATCGGTCCCCTCGCCGCCATTGCTGCCTCCGTCGTCTTCTTCACTGCTGTCCGTCGTCCTTGTATGAAAGCTGCTGTACGGTGCCGTACTGGAACTAGTGCCGCTGCGGCGGCGTGAAACCTGCCGCCCATCATCGCCGCCACTCACGCCCTTTTCACCGCCGCCGCCGCCGCCGCCGCGTTCATTTCGACCGTCGGCCGGGTCCGCAGTGCTCATGCCGCGGTTGTTAAAGGTGGCCCCCCACCCGCCGGGCGCCGGATGCGCCGACGCCGGCATCGCTAGTGGGAATTGCCGCGTGCGCTGCTGCAGCGGCGGCGTAGCCGCCGCCGCGCCGCGGCCAGCAACGGCGAAGCCGCCGCTTGACCGCCTGTCCAAACTCACGCTGGGTCCAAGACCGCCCCCGCCGTTACCGCCGCCGTTGGCGGCGGCGGGTCCGAGACCAAACCCTAGACCGGCCAGGGCAGTCGCCCGTTGCGATATCACAGTTCGTACCCACTGAGACACAAACTCGTACCGGCTGGTGGCTTGACGGTGAAGTTTGGCGGCCTCGTGCGCAGCGGTGCTCTGGTCGGTGGGGTCGTTGGCGGCGCCGCCAGCGCCGCCGTCGGAGGCATCGCCGCCGCTGCCGCTGCTGCGCCGCGGTGAAGGAGTGGAGTCGCCTCCATCGTCGTTGCTGGCGGCGGCGCTGTGGTTTCTGCCACTGCCGCTGCCGCTGCCGCCGATTGACGCCTCGTTCTCCCTTTCACCGCCGCCGCCGCCGCCGCCATCCTCTTCCTCCCCCTCCTCAGATATGCGCCGCAGCGTCCCACCAGCCGCCGCTAGTACGGACGCCAGGCCGCCGACCTCCTCCCCAGCTCGCGCCCGAATCGGCGATGTGCCGGCCAATGGCCGCGGCGCTGCTCCTCCTCCCCCTCCATCGCCGCCGCCGCTGCCACCATCATTCGCGCCGCCCGGCGACGCGGCGGCAGCGACAGCGACCGCTTTTCCTGCTGTCGTACTGTGCAGGTGGCGATGCAGGTGCAGTACCTTCATCAGGTCGGCTCGGGCCTCTACTTGGGTCGTGTCAGCGTGGAGTACGGCACGAACCGTGGCTCGGCCGCCGGGCCCCAGCGTCTGCACGCCCTGCAGTACGACACGCACGGCGCCGCTGTCGGGATGGGTTCCCGCCAGAACCAAGGTTGGACCCACGGTAACGCGTCCCGAGGTGGCCTTGAGGGCGCTCTTCTTGTGGTGGTGTTGGGAGTGGGGGTGGTGGTGGTGGTGTTGAGAGGCGATAAGGGAAGCCCACGTCGCCCCGGGGGGAAGGTCCAGGAACCTGCGGGTTGGGTTTTATTTTTTTTGTGTGTGTGTACGAAGCTAGGAGGCGGGTTTGACCCCGTGGACCCCCCACAACGGCATATGATGTACAACCCCCCAGCCCCCCAACCCCCCAGCCCCCAACCCCCCAACCCCCCAGGCCCCCAACCTCCCAGCCCCCCAACCCCCCAACCCCCTAGGCCCCCAACCCCCCAACCCCCCAGGCCCCCAGGCCCCCAGCCCCCCAGCCCCCCAACCCCCCAGGCCCCCAGGAGGGGCACCGGAAGACGCGTCCGCTAGCGCATCCTCCCAACAGCCCTTCCAAACCCCTATCCGCCCCTAGAGACTGGCTTCCTCCCCGAACTCTTTCATCCATTCACCCCTCCCCCCTCCCCCAGCGCTCCCCTTACCTGCTCAGCGGCTTCCTGAGCATCATTGTGGAAGACAGTCCAAAAATCAGTCCGACAGCCGTACTCGCCTTCCGTACCACCAGCTCCTCATCCAGCTCCACGACACCGCTTAGAAGGTCCCGCCGCCAAAGCACCACTCGTACACGGGCCTGGGAGCCATCGCCGTCGTCGTTGTCGCTGGCGCCATCCGACGCCGCCGCCATGGCCATCGCTGCGGTGTCCATGTCTCCCGCCGCCGCCGCCGCCGCCGCCGGCGTCACTTTCTCGTGTCCGTCGAGGAGCTCCACCTGGGGATAAAAGGGGGTGAAAGGGGGTGGGGGGATGGGGCTGAATTGGGCTGGCGCGAAAGTACGACCAATACACACATACAGGCAAATGCTTTCGTCACACAAGCACATTCCCCCACCCCCAACCCCAACCCCAACCCCAACCCCACCTGCAGACATGCCGACCTCCAGATTGTGTCATGTGCCTGCACACCGCCACCACCAGCACCACCACCGCCACCACTGAGGTGACGCTCTGTCGTACCTGTGCGCCACGTCTGCGTCTGCGACTGCGACTGATGTTGGTTCATGCTCATGTTCATGTTGGGATCGGGGTCGGGATTGTTGTTGGGGTGCTGTGAGGCGCTGCGGCTGAGCAGCCCCTCAGAGCGATCTGGCTCACGAACACGCACACGCCAGGATGCTCCTGCGGTTAGGGGCCGGGGGTGGGGGGTGGAAGAGGAGGGGGGACACGGAAGGGGTTGCGTGTGTGTCTGTGTGTATTGACACGGACACGCGGGTAAAGGGGTCCCGGGGCGCACTTGGAGGCGTGTGTTTTGTGCAGGAAATCGGAGCGCGCCCTGGGTTCGGAGCAGGGGTGGGGTTACGAAGGAGGGAGGGTTGGGGGGAGAGGTGGTAGCACGTGCTTGGGTGCTTGGGTGCGTGCCAGCCTGCTAAAGAGTGTGTTTCTTCACCCACCCCGTCCCTGTTGTGTGTATAGTTTGTACCGCCACAACACAGCCACACTGCAACCACACTACAGCCACACTACAACTACAACCACACTACAACCACACTGCAACCACACTACAGCCACACTACAGCCACACAACAGCTTGACTACAGCTACATTAGCACAAAGTGTAATTACCTCGACATGTCGAGTTACAGCCCCGAAACCGCACTTCTAACCCTAACTTCCAACCGCTGCTCCCAACCACCCAACCACCCACCCGGCATCGCCTGTTCCTTGTCCAGCAGCGACAGCAGCAGCAACTGCATCTCCCCGCTACCGGTGCGGTGCCGCCACTCCGCGAAGACGTCCACGAAGTCGCACAGCCGTGACTCCAACAGCGTCCAGGACGGGAACCCAAACACCGTGTCATTGGGGCGGCATACACTGCGGACACGGCCGTAAAAGTCTACCGTTAGAACTAACCGCTGCTCTTCAACCTCCTCAACCGCCGGCACCTTGTCGACCTGGGATAGCAGTCAAAACGATAATTGTTGGATTTAGTTGAATGGGAGTTTCGGTTGCGTCGGGTCTGTGTTTATTATTGTTGTTGTTAGTTGGTTAGTTGGTTGGTTGACAGTTGACAGTTGCTTTCTTGAGGATGAATGGTACCTGGTGGGTTGAAGATAGCCGGGATCGATCCGGTGGCGAGGGTGCCAGTGGAGCGAGGGCAGCGGATGCGACGAATTTCACATTTCACATTTCACATTTCGCATTTCACGTTTCGCATTTTATCCAGCCCTTCACTTCGTGCCCCACAATTGCCGTAGTCCGCACTGGTACCCCCCCCTGATGGTGGTGGCCCCCTACCGGACAACGCTAACCGATCCTGCTAAAACCCGTAGCCCTCTTAAGACCTACCTGTACGACATGGTGTACGGATGCGAACACGGACGAGTTCCCCGCCAGCACCTTGATCCGTACGGGCACTCTGGATCCTGAGTCGTTCAGGAGCGACACCACCCTGCCCGCGCGGCAGGACAAGGGTGTGGGGGGGTGGGGGGGGTCCTGCGCGGGGCCGGCGGGAGAGATGGAAGGTGAAAAGACGCAATAGGGCCGTTTTTACATACACACGCCCACACGACAATGTACACACACAATACACACACACAAAAAAAAACACAGATCCAATCCCTTTAAAATATCCCCACTCCCACGCTCCCCCTTTCCCTACGCAGCTTTCCTCAAGCAAGCTCCGAGGCCCTACACCCCCTCTTTCTCTCCCCCCCACCTTTCTCCCCCCTCCCCTTCCCCCCCCAGGGGTAAAACCGCACCCGCAGCCACTTTGCATGCAGCGCATTGAAGGGCGGCGGCAGCAGCTGATCGAGCCTCATGGACACCAGCTGGCGGGGGGTGCGGCCAAGCAGCGCCGACACGAATGTGGTAGCGAATTTGACCCGCATATGCGAGTCAACCACCAGGATATTGTTGGCTCGTCCATCCGTACGGCGACAGTTGAAAACCAGGATGCGCTGAGAGTCGGTGCCTGATCAGTACACACGGCCGGGATTATGGGGGGAGAGGAAGGGGAAAAGGACGGCGGTGTGTATGTGTATGTGTGTGTGTGTGTGTATAGATGGGGTGTATAGATGACATCTGGACCGTACAGGTAAAAGAATGGGCGTGAGTGGGGGGATGGCCACGGGTGGGAAAAAGCAGTAAAGCAAGAGGAGCGTACGGCAATGTGTTCATGTCGGGAGGGAAAGACTGGATGAGGGGTAGGAGGGAAGGTACGTGAGGGCGTACAACGATCCAACGGGAACGCAGCAGGTAGGGTGAGAGCGCAAAGAGACAAAAAGAGCACTGAAGGCCATAAACTGGCGCTCCCCTCTCCTCCCCGCCCCTCCTCAACCCCAGTCTCCATTCTTCACCTTCCCCCCGCTAACCCCCCTTTTCCCTCGAGACACACACACACACACACACACAAGCACACACACGTAACCCCATCTCTCCCCCCGCCCCCCACCCACCTGCCAGCCCCACGGTCACCTCCACGTGCACCGGATCCAAATATCGGTGAAGGAAATGCATTTCCGTACGGACAGTACCGGTAGCCAGCTCTGTTACGGAAGCTGTACGGCACCGCTCCAGGAGGGCCTCCAGTTGCTCCAGGCAGGCGGGCGCTGCCAGAGCTGATAGCGACTTGCCTACCTAGGGGGGGGGGAGTTGTGTGTGCGCATATGCGCGTGCGCACACGTGTCTGTGTCTGTGTGTACGTGTCTGTTAGTATGTGTGTTTAATCACCTGTATATATGTATGTTGTTACAGGGTGGTTAACTTCGCCAGCGGCCCCCTTTCCCGGGGCAGTCCCTGCTCTCCCCTGTGCTAGAGGGGCAACCTAATCTGTTCATCCCATCCGACTTCAGAATGTATTCGTTGGGTTCGGCAACTCACCACCAGCATCCAACCAAATCTAGCGGATCAACGGCACATCAACTTAGTTCCTGGTTAGCTCGCAAGTTGATTTTATCACGTCCTACATCGTCCATGTGATGGAGGGCCACCTCCCATTTCACCTCCTCACTCCTCAAACACCCGAGGAGCTGGCAGGCGGATTTGAACCCGGGTTGGCCGGGAGCAGAAGTCAGGCCTTAACCTCTGCCAGCCGACTGCCTGTATATATGTATGTAGATAGGTATGTGATTCTGGACATGAACGGATGCGTATGGCATGGCGGGGTCAACACCTCATATGACTCGCAGAGACTGGATGGCACCCCTTCCTCCCTACATACATCCATACATACAAACACATATCTCCCCACCCACCCACCAGCTCTCCCTCCTGAAACCCGATCATGGACGCGAAGCTCTGCTCGCCGCACAGGAAGATGCCGTTGGGGGACAGCCACACGCGTATGGAGTAATGCCCGGGGGGAATGGCTCGCAGCAAACCCAGAAACACACTGCCGGCGACACAGCCACACATGA